GATTTCGGGGGTAATTGCCTCAAAATTTTATGAATTAGGGGCCAAAAAGGGAAAACAAAACAAGCATTTTTCTAGTTTCAGGACAATAACTTGTGTGTAAGTGTATGGATCTTTATGAAATTGAACTACAAGGTTCCATATCACAAGAGGAAAGCTGGGTTTGAGTTTGGGGGTAATTGCCTTAAACGTTTAGGAATTTGGGGCCAAAAAGGGGCCTAAAAACAAGCATTTTTCTAGTTTCCAGACAATAACTTGTGTTCAAGTGTATGGATCTCTCTGAAATTGTACTGCAAGGTACCATACCACAAAGGGAAGGCTGGGATTGAGTTTGGGGGTGATGAATCATAAGGGGGTTCAAAAAATTTGGGGGGGGATTTTTTTTTTTTTTCCTTTTTTTTCTTTTTTCCTTTTTTTTTTTCTTTTAAAATTTTCCATTTTAAGTTGGTTATTTCTGATTTATATTTAAAAGCAAATAATAATGATATGGTAGGAGATACACACCAAACAGGATGTGTAAATTATTATATAATAAGTATTGTGCAATAGCAAGAAATTTTCAATTGCACAGTATTGCACAATAGCAAGAAATCTTCAATTGCACAGTATTGCGCAATAGCAAGAAATATCCAATAGCATAATATTGCGCAATAGCAAGAAATTGTCAATTGTACAGTATTGCGCAATAGCAAGAAATTTTCAATTGCACAGTATTGTGCAAAAGAAGATAATTCGTATAAATTGCTTATTTCTTGACCAATTTCAATGGGGTTTTATTCTTGAATTCTTGGGGTTCTTTAATATGCTGAATCTGACTGTGTATTAAGTTTTTGGATTTTGGGCCCCGTTTTTAAATTGGTCCACATTGAGGTCCAAAAGGTCCAAAATTAAACTTTGTTTGATTTCATCAAAAATTGAATTATTGGGGTTCTTTGATATGCCGAATCTAACCGTGTATTTAGATTCTTAATTTTTGGTTCCGTTTTCAAATTGGTCTACATTAAGGTTCAAAGGGTCCAAAATTAAACTTAGTTTGATTTTAACAAAAATTAAATTTTTAGGGTTCTTTGATATGCTGAATCTAAACATGTATTTAAATTTTTGATTATGGGCCCAGTTTTCAAGTTGGTCCAAATCGGGGTCCAAAATTAAACTTTGTTTGATTTCATCAAAAGTTGAATTCTTGGGGTTCTTTGATATGCTGAATCTAACCATGTATTTAGATTTTGGATATTGGACCATAATAGGTGAATGTCCAATTTAAAATTTTTAAGTTCTTAGACCACATTCATTCTGTGTCAGTAACCTATGCTGTGTCAAATATTTAATCACAATCCAAATTCAGAGCTGTATCAAGCTTGAATGTTGTGTCCATACTGGCCCCAACTGTTCAGGGTTCGACCTCTGCGGTCGTATCAAGCTGCGCCCTGCTGAGCATTTTATTACAGTAGGCAGACACTGTTTCCATTCTATAATAGATGGAGGATGATATTTAAGTCCTTTCGCAAGAAAAGTTTTGACCTCATCTTCAACGATGTTGAGGTATCCTGTAAAGACATGACCATAGGGAACATATCTAAAACTAGATGATTTACAGTCTCAAGTGGAAGCAGTATTATTTTCTATATTGACGTCCGATGTTACTGACGTATAATTAAAAAAATTCAGACTTGTTGTTTTTTTTGTACGATTACGAAATAATAGGTGATTCTGTATTATTAAAATATGGAGGTATTTGGCTATGGATGGTAGAGTCATTGAATATACTAGATAAGTTAATAAAATCAATACCTGTATTCATATATTTTAATTCATGAAAATGCCGTTTTTGATTTTCAGGTTTATCGATACTAAGAAACAGCCTGTGATGACAAAAGGCTGTAATAATTCGGGTTTATTCATACAACGGGCTGAAAAATGAAATTTTATCACACTCCAGAAAAATATCATATAGTTTACTTAATTATTGGTATATGACCAAGTTTGCATAATAATTGGTGTTTACCATTATTTTTTATGTGTATAATTTATACGATTTTTAATACGTAGATTACGGTTTTTACATCGGATGACCGTGAGGGCATTCCGGTGTATTGTTGCCACAGACATTTCTACCCACGTGACTTTCGTTTTTGACTGATAACCGAACGCAAAATAACATTCCTTATCGCTTGTTATATATCAATTTCATCAATAAAAATTCATGAAAATAATTTTTAAGAACATAGATAAATGATATGAAAATGTTTTGTCGTGAGAAATTTATATATATCAATAACAAATCAAGAATACCGAAAATTTGAGTTAACGCATGCGGAAGAATATCTCAAGAACGTTTTGCGGGAAAATATGAATGCCTACTCAAATCCAATCTATTAGAAAAATCGAATTATTACAGAAGAGTGTCCACCATGCACTTGCACTGCACTATTATTAGAATAGTAGAATAGAATGATATACAAATGGATGAAAATTATATATACATGTAACTGTTATATACAAATATTAATATAATATATAACAACAAACCAGAGTATACTGATTTGTATCACTACAATATGATAGTTATTACGGTGAGATTGAATTCCCTGTCATTTATTCATCATCCACACACTAACTTGTCTCTGAAAAAAAATATCTATGTACCTTAACCTCACTTTCAGGTATAGAGATTGATTTTTTTTTCTGAGACAAGTGCTTGTGACCATCCACAAGAAATTGCGGTCATCCTATGTTCAGTACTTCTGTACTTTGATTACGTTTACCATAAGACCTATCATTTCTTAGCCGTTTATCGACAATATTCATGACATCAATAGAAGTTTTAGATATGTTCCCCTGTCCCAATATTTTGTCATTGAGAACGAGAGGATAAGCTGTTTGAAGTCTTTTTATCCAAAATAGTTCGCGAACTTAACGGGATTTTTCAAATTGTTTGTGTGATTTTCCTGGTTGTTTCTGAACGGTTTCAAGTGGTTGGAATTTTATAAATTTTAGATTGTGATCATGCTTATCTAAATGTTGGTATATCAAACTTTTGAATTTTTTAGATTTTCGAAAGCGGTAAAGGTGCTCTTGATTTCTTCTGTAATATTCTCGTCTCGTCTGTCCCACATATTGAATACCACACTTAGGCTGGGTTCAAGTTACCAAATAAATAAGGTTTTGGGTTTTTCAGGTAATGTCACAGGAAAAGAAGAGCGAAAAAACTCTCCCGTTCACTGTTGACCTAACAGTGTTGTGTAAAGTATGTGTATATTTGTTAGAAACAAGCGCGTGTGCTCAATATTCAGAATTAACTTTTGACGTCATATTTATGATTATTTATAAAGAAAGACTTTTTCTCCTATCTTAAGGCGTCGAATATCTTTTTTAAAGATAGTACATGTTTGTTATTGTCTTTACAGAGATATATCGATATAAATTATTTTGAGCTTTATGTATTGCTAGTTTAAGATATAATTTTTATGATAATGAAAAATTAAGAACGATGTCAAGTAAAACATAACGATATGAGCTTAAAGTACTCACAGTCTCAATTAATAGCAAACATGTTTACGTACACTGGAATATTAGTTATTATACCTCCGTAACACTCAATTTTCTCGATAAAGAATGCAAATAAGATACATGTTGTAATATGGCTTGCTTGTGTATTTCAAACTACAGAGTTTAACAAGTACACATTTTTAGATATCCGATTTTTTAACATATGAAGAGTTCCTTTTCAATTCTATAAAAATCAGAAGATGCGAAACGATTGTCAATGAGGTAACTTTTTACTGCGATATGTACTATGAACCCGCTTCATCATTTTACGCACTGCGAATGAGTAGTTCCAACGTGTTACACGACGGGTGCGATTAGTGCAGCAGGGACTGCTTAGACTTCCGGAGCACCTCAGTTTATCTCAAGTTTTTGCGGTGATCATATTGTTCTATCTTTAGGTTTCTGTTAAGCGTTTCGTGGACTGTTATTTATCTTTATGCTTTTTGGGGGAGCCATAACGTTGTTGGATTTTACCTCACTTAATGGTTTTAATTGCTCCATTGATATCCTCCCTATTCTCATTCTTTGATTAGTGAGTGTCAAGAACAAATAATAAATCGGACCAGTATCGTTCATAATAGATTCAAGTACAAGTTATTACTGTTTAATACTTTTAATACGCATGTTCGGACAACATAAGCATAAACTCATTGGTCAAGTAACATTCAATTCAGGGAATAAAAACGAAAATATCACTTTATTGATTTAAAAACTCAAACACATGAGGAGCACCATGTGGGATGTCACAAATTTGCCAAATAAAATTGCACCCACGTTTATTTTTCTAAATTTGTTCTAAATTTATCAACGAAAATATAGAAATGTTATGTTAATTATCATGTCATGCCATTGTTTCATTTAGAGTGTTTGATTTTTGCATTTTGAGTACACAAGCAAAATGAATTACGACTAACACAAAAGTATGTTGAATCACATTCATTGTGAATCTTATCACTTTGTGTTTATTCTTTCATAAGTATTATCATTTTGCTTATTTTACAGAATTGACATTGAATTGAAAATATATATTTTAGCCACTTTTTTTATCAACACACAACAGTCTATGCTAAACATATACTGCCTTGTCCCTTACAGCTCATGATCGTTGGTCTTTCGGTAGCTTGGTCTCCGAAAGTGACCTGTTGCGTTTATGAACATATTGGCAGGTTGGCTATTTTTGGCTAAATCCCGTACCAGCCTAAAAAATCGACTCAGCATTTCGGTTTAACAAAAAATATATGGTGTATTAGAATGACACAAAGAAGATACAAACCTGAATATTCATGTAATATTTCTTACTGGAAATTAAAAACTTATAAATTAATGATTATTTGAACGTATTAACCGAAACATAAAAAGAGCGTCCATAAGGTATTTGCAATCATTATTTTCAGTGGCTGTATAAAAACTTTTTCTGTACAGATATCGTACACAATATTTAAAAAAAATCTTACCAAAATATTACCAACAATTCCTATACTGATCCCAACACATATAATAACCAAGGAAACTGATGATATTACAAAGTCTTCTTGTAAAAAGTTTTTATACAAGATTTCACTTCCATCTGTGCTATTTAAATGGTTGTTTTTCTGATGTTTTCGTAAAATAACATCAAATATACTCTCAAGATCCATCTCTTGTTCTTTTGTATGTATTTTACCTTTACAGCTAAACCTTGTGTAAGCGATCTGATATCTGGCGTCCAATCCGCACGAATTTATATTCTAAACTATCCAATCAGCTGACAACTTCATATGTTAAATAGTCTAAAATTACCTGGAATAACGGCCTTCTTTTTATAAATCTTGTTAAAACATAGATCTAAAACCAGATAGAACACCAATAATCAATCAACACTATATATATCAACGTTAATAAATTTTCATTTTGTGATAGATTATCTAACAAGTTAGGATTTTAAAAATATTTCTGGAAAGCACACTCAGACATACATGAATGATTATCTTATGCAAACATTTTATAAAAAGGATTCTTGCATGCATACATCTAATAAGATTTTATTTTCTTCGCTGTTTCCATTTTTACTACCATATTCATTAAACTATTGTTCCTAAGTTGTGGAATACTACGTGAATAGTTATGTCAATAATCATGTCGATGATATCTATTAAAGTTCTGTTTTCATTCCTATAAATGCAGAATTTCAATTAAATATAACAATTGTAATAATAATTGCCTAAAAAAACAACCATAATTGTATTCTTTTTTTTTCCCTTTTCCCCATTACCGACATGAAAATATTGAGATGTGGTATAATTGCCAATGAGAAAACTACACCAAAGTTGAAATGAAGTGGATGTTAGCAATTATAGGCAACCTCACGGCCTTCAACAATGAGAAAATCCCATACCGTATAGTCGGCTTTAAAAGGCCACGACATGAAAATATGAAACAATTTAATTGAAAAAACTAACGGCCTAGTTTATAACAAAACAATTTACGAAACCAATATGACAGACATGAACCAACGACAACCACTGAACTACAGGCTCCTAACTTGGGTCAGGCACACATAAAATGTGGCGGGGTTAAACATGTGAGCGTTCGACTCTCCCCGTAACCTAGGACAGTTGTGTAAATGCATGTTGAACGTATATCTAGGATGAATTTTTTATTCACATTTACATTATACATGAAAGTTTCAACCACCCAACAGAATGTGGTATATATTTTAGACCATTTGGGGATCCGAAAACACAAGTGTATCATGTAGACCTTCCGTTAACATTACTTTTTAAAAACTTTTTAAACAACTACTCAAAAAGACAAATTCCTTCTTGGTGTAAGGACAATGTAAATAATCATTTGAAAAATAATTAGTGAGAGAAAATAACGTATGTCAACGACATTTTTTCTTCTTCATAAAACTGAACAGTATATAACCCTAGCATTTCCAGCCGAATAAGGAATACATGGCGTTTTGATCATTGGTTTAGTATTCTACAGCCGTATGGAATCATTCAGAAACAACATTTATAATGCAAGGCTGTGGCTATACTTTTTATCCTTTTTTTATTTATAAGCTCTTCATTTTTGTAATAAGTTTTGGATTTTCAAATATTTTGGCCACGAACATAAATGAAGAGACATTTATAGTGGAGAAATATTGGTATTGTTAATGTTATTGTAAGACTTGCACTATCATCAGCTGCCATAAGGTTATTTACGATTCGCAATATTAATAATGAAAAACAAATTAAGTTTTCAAATTAGAGTAGCTATTTCCGAATTATTATCACAGCTACACCTGGTTAATTTGGAAACAGGTCAACTTTAAGCCTATTATACTTATTTTTGCACTTATGGTATTCAATCCTTGTTCGATAAAATGTGCTCAATGATTTCATTTAGTCCGTGTAGAACATGTTTCAATGTACTGCAATGAAATGGATTTTATTTTGCATTTGAAATCAATGATTTTTATAAATATGTAATTGTTCAGCAATTACCTCGTAGGTTCATGTCGATTAAAATCTAGTATTATACAAGGTCAAGTACACAAACGAACAATGACAAACTAAAACCTTAAAATAAGATGGAATTATAGATTTTTTTCACGTAACAATTTAGATAAATTTAACATATTTTCATTTGAATATCTAGGGTGAATATTTTTTTGTGGAAATATTATGGAATTTGCGCATCAGGTTTTGTTAAAACAATAACTTGAGTGAAAATGACTATTTTTACATATTTTTACAAAGATTAGAAAAATATGAGTATGTTGAATGGGTTTTAAGATGAAATATTTTTTTTCAGATTTTATGTTTTCAAAAAGGTAAATTTTAAAAGTGGCGTTTGACTTTGTGCAAGTGATGTGGGTTTAGCACATTTGCATGGTCTAGGTGGAGCTTTAAATAGAAAAGTGTTGTTGATGCAATTGAAATTACTGTAAAACATGGTGTTCATACGTTTTGCTAAATCATTGAGAACATCTTACATAAACCTTCTACCCACCCTGTCTCGCTCCTTTTGAATTTGATACGATCCGCTCAGTTATTTTTTACCTTGATTTGTTTCTCCTTTATGTATGTTTGAGCTTAAACATCGATAAACTCATACAGTCTTTTTATAAACGAAATGTATAACTTCCTTTTATTCGACATTTACAATTCGGTGCCTACACAACAAGGAAAATAGAAAATAACACTTCATAATCGCCTTTTCTTCGATGTACCAAAAATCCTAATGTTTTTCGTTTCAAAGGTTGGCCCGAGAATGTTCTTGTCTATTCACCTTGCTCACAGTGTCCGCGTTGTCAAAACCAACCACTCCCCAATTATAATATATTATCAAAATAAATTAATACTAATACATGTACGTAGTTTATATAGAGAAAACTATCAAATGTCTATAAAGTTAAAGAAAGATCTGTTAAAAAAGTAAGCCCGTTTCGCATCTTCATGTATGTACAGAATCACAAATAATCTGTATAGAATCACACATTAATATAAGAGCGTTTCATAAACCGACAATCGAAAGGCAAAATCCCTTGCAATTCCTTGCTACATAACTTTTTTTTCCGTTTTCATTTAGCTATATATACAAATATTTTCAACAGTAAACTTTTTCCTAGGACAGAATAGGATCGTTTGTTATCAATCAGACGTCCTAGACGTGTATCAGAATTCAAGAATATGCGACAAAGTGCCTTTTTGTGTGACCAAGCTAGTAAGTTCTAGTTACTACTGTAAACACTGTTACTCCAACCTTTTGCAGCAGCTGCGCTATGCAAATTACCCTTGAACTGGTTTAAACCTAATGTATGGCATTGTCATACATTTTCTCTCCTCCTTCGTATATTAACGCAATTGTCCTCTTCCTCCTTTTGCACTTATGTAGGTATGATGAAAGGATTCTTTATCTATATGCGACATTGACTGTTTGGGTTGCTCGCCTGATTTTGTCAGTATATCGGAACTATAAACAACTGTCATATAAGTGGGAAATACCAAAGGAACATTCAAACTCAAAGTTGAAAACAATTTGCCACTTCCAAAGCAAACAACAGTATACAAAATACAACATATAAAACTAAAGACTGAGCAACATGAACACCACAAACAGTCGGGGTAGTCTCAGGAGCTCCGGAAGGGAAAGCATGTCCTGCTCTACATGTGGCACCCGTCAAATTTTACGAAAAAATGAGATGAAAGACACCCAAATTTTATTTGATCATTTGGTAGATTAATGTCAACAGTTTCAGAAAAGGTATCACTCATAGGCATTGAAATTTTAGTTTTAACCAAATTTTGGGGGAATTTGTGACATTTTCAAGCCCCTTGTTGCAATATTTTATGATGAATAAATGCAGAATGTTGCCATGGATACACAAAAAGAAAGTATTTTTCACCATTTTAACTTTTAAAAATCAAATCTATGGAAGATACTGATTACATACATATGCACATGTATGACACAAACACTTGGCTTAATGTATTAGAAAGCCAGGAATATAAGATGATTAAACATTTTGTGGTTCAATTTTAATTTTATTTTCTAACTGTGGAGTGCTACTTCATGTATGTACAAACCCGGTGAGAAGTCTAATTTGGTAGGTCACACGAGAAAAAGAGACCGGGATTGTGGTAACGACAACTGGAACATATCTGTCGTCATCTGTGAAACAGATATTCTATAAAGGTCAAACAACTTGTGATGGCATCCGTCAATATTATTACGCATGCAGTTTTAGTAAAACAACTTTACGATATTTGTGCCGTGACCCGAAGAAGATGACTTCAAAGCTTAAATCTATTCGAGCGGGACACAGAAGCGCAGTTTTTAAGAAGATTTGACGAGCGGAGTGAATCAGAAGAAAAACCGGAAGAGGACGAGTTGGAAATATTTCTTGATACCTTAAAGGAGAACAAGATAATCTGAAGGATTTAGATAGGAACATTTTAGAAAGTGAACTAGAGCAGGATATAGAACAAGAAATACTTGACTCGGATGAGTATAGATTTAATTTAGAGACAAAAATACGGAAGATTCGTAAATTTATTCACGTACAAACATCTAATTTAAATGCAGCCGCTAGAAGTTTTTCGCCACATAATGAAACACTGCAACCCATACAAAATGTTGGCCCTGCGTATAACTTTACAGATGAGTCACAAAATACAGGCCTAAATTTCACGTCTTTGCATTCAAATGCAAGCGTCAATAGGAGTAACTTTCATAAACTTCCGAAATTGAACTTACCCATATACTTGAATGGCAATCCTTTTTGTGATTCTTTTGATTCAGAAATCCACAAAAAACAACACACATAGCGACGTTCAAAAGTTCAATTACTTAAAATTTTTACTAGAAGGAGAAGCGTCAAACACCATTGCAGGTTTTGCCCTTACGCACACAAACTACAACAAAGCTTTTAAACTTCGGACAAAAGCATAAGATCATTCAATCGTACATGCAGCCACTACTAGACATACCCGCATCAAAAAAAAATGCTAACACAACTCAGAAGTTACTACGACAGGACAGAAACATACATAAGAGGATTAGAATCTCTCAGACAAGCTCAAGACTCGTACGGCTTGTTATTGGTACAAGTCATACTCAACAAAATGCCAAGTGATATACGCAAAAACTTAACACGTGAACACGGTTCAACAGGTTGGTTTCTCGGTGATCTTATGAGATCTATTTTCAAGGATTTTAGAGTCTGGTAGAAGTTTAGAAACAGTTGAAAGTCCGAGAGCTACAGCTACGTTCTAC